CGCTCAGCCAGTGAGCGCTGTGAGCGCACTGGTCGTCCCTATATAGGATCCGAACCCGTGGCGGGAGCGCTACTGCGCTCCCAGCGCCACACTCTCCCGAGTGCGCCACAGGCTTGGCCCGCAATTCTTTTTTTTTTTTTTCTTTTTGTCTTTTTTCGTGACCGGCAACGGGATCGCAACCCTCGGTGTCGCGCCCGCACCTCGCTGAGCCAGTGAGCGGCAGGTCTGTATGTGGGATCCGAACCCTTGGCGGGAGCGCAGCCCTGTAGCAGTGCGCCACCGGGCCGGCCCCCCTCAATTCTTTTTTTTAAAAAATCTTTTCAGATGTTTGGAAGAATGGTTTTGTTTTATTTCAGCTTCTCTACAGTTAATGGATTTTTTAGTGCCAAATGTGTATAAAGTGAAGGAGAAATCTATTCAAGGAGTACCTAGAGCAGAAACTTAACCTGAAGTAGCAAGGTTTTAAGTATGTTCAATAAACTGATCCATTAGTTATTTTGTTTATCCATCTCTCCTTCCTTCCTTACATGCATGTAGAAAGGCAGTTGCAGTTTGAGAACACTATTTAGAATAAGTTCAGCTGAGTACAAATTGACTCATTTGATTTTATTTATTGTCTTTTGTCATCTCTAGCTGCATATCCCCATCGTTTGAATCTCTTTTACCTTGCCAATGATGTCATACAGAATTGTAAAAGGAAAAATGCAATCATTTTCCGTGAATCGTTTGCTGACGTCCTTCCTGAAGCAGCTGCTCTAGTAAAGTAAGTAAATTCTTATTTCCCTTTGGGATCTAAGCTTAGAAATTTTAGAATTTTAGTTTCCCTTTTTACCCATTAGTAAGAACTGTAACAGTTGCACTTGCTTGAAGATCCAAGGATATTTTGCCCAAATGGTTCATTATAACTTTCCTGCTAATACAGTTGTCCCTCAGTCTCTGTTGGGGATTGATTTCAGGAGTCCCTTGGATACCAAAATTTGAGGATGCTCAAGTCCCGAAGTCAGTCCTGCAGAATGCCTGATATGAAAAGTAGGCCCTCTGTATCCAGGGGTTCCCCATCCCTTGAATGAATGCTGTATTTTCAATCCTCAGTTGATTATATCTGTGGATGCAGAACCTACAGATACAGAGTGCCAGTTGTACACACATTTTTCTTTTAAAAACACTTTCTTCCCTTTTCAGAAGCTGGTCTCTTCTGTCCTAACTTAACCACATAACATCTCCTGGTCATACTCTCTGGATGTGCTTCTGAGTATTGCTTCTGTTTTTGTTTTTTTAAAAACACATTTTGTTTTTTCTTTCAGAGTCTTTCTGAAGTCTTTCCCCCTCCATGAACTCTGTGTGGTTAAAGAGAAATGAAAATACTTATTCCCAATTCCATATTGATTTACTTCATTCTTAGTGAATTTCTAGCCAGTGTTTCCTACAGTGTATTCCTATGAAATGGTCAGAAAAAGAAGGGTTTCATGCTCAAATAAGTTTGGAGAGTAATCCATACTGCCTTTCCTCTCCTGAAGATTCAGAGTGCACATTATCATATTAATAATTTTTCTTTTGGGAGCTTTATAATGCTAAAATGTTTTAAACAGCATTTTCTAAACTTTGACTGTGGACCCTTCTTTTTGACTACCTATTAAACATCCCAACACATTTGGGGAATTCTGGTTTATCTAGCACAAACTTATATTTGATCTTATTTTTGCCCCATATTAATAATGTTTTCTTTGTGTTGTATCCATATTTGTAAGTTGTTTGTTTTTTTTTGTACAAGACACACATTCCAAGATAAACAATTATATGGAGCAATCATAATTGCTAAATACTTTCTTAAATTATGTATTTAATAGCATTGACCCATTTATTAGTATTAACCCAGTCAGAACTGAATGATCCTTTTCTCCTTTGTTTGGATTGCTAACTTGAAATGTCTACTTCGCTGTTACAAAAGATTAAAATATGGTCCTACTTGGATGCACTAAGTAATAAATATTTATACACATGTCAGAAGTACAGAAAATAATAACACCACCACCTATCATTTGTTGAATACTCATAAATGACCAAATATCATACAAGGTGCTTTTATCATTTAATTCTGAGAACAACTTTGTATACTGGGTACTACTGTTTTCCTTTTTTTTTTTTTTTTTTTTTTTGTCTTTTGTCTTTTGTCTTTTTCCGTGTCCGGCAATGGATCACAACCCTCAGTGTTGCCCCCATACCGGACCGGGGACCAGCAACGGGACCGCAACCCTCGGTGTTGCTCCCGCGCCTCGCTCAGCCAGTGAGCGGGAACCGGTCTGTATGTGGGATCCGAACCCTTGGGCGGGAGCGCCGCCGCGCTTCCCAAGCGGCGCACTTATCCAGTGCGCCACCGGGTCGGCCCCATGTTTTCCTTATTTTAAGGAAGAGGAAACTGTGACTTAGAGAGTTACTTAAGTAGCTTGCCTAAGCTCTCACAGCTACCTGTGGGTGGGTAGCTGGGATTCCTACCCCAGGCTTTCCAGACCCCAAAACCTATGTTCTTTGTCACTTAACCACTAATCTGTGCTGCCTCTTTACATATATAAACCCAATGTAATTTTGAGTAAGAAAAACAGTATGCTGGATGATCTCTGCTTAGAATTTCTGCTGTAAATAGCACTGTAGTCTCTTTAAAACTTTAGCCTGGTGTTTCCTAGACTTTTGGATTTTATGGCCTAGTTCATGAATTAATATTGGTTTGTCAACTTTTTTTTTTTAAAACCATGTAAAGATATTTTATTTTTGTCCTTTTTGAGACTGGCCACACGGCGCTCAGCCAGTGAGTGCTGTGAGCGCACCGGTCATCCCTATATAGGATCCGAACCCGCGGTGGGAGCGCTGCTGCGCTCCCAGCGCCACACTCTCCCGAGTGCACCAGGGGCTCGGCCCATGTAAAGATATTTTAAAAAATAACTACTTTGTATTACTACCACTATGTCACAGAAAAAAGTGGGGAGGACATAATCTGGGAATAAAGTATAGTCCTTTAAATTAAAATTTTAAGCTCTAAAAATTTTCTTAATGAAAGATGTCTTTAGAAACCTGTAGTAAACATCAGACTTAATGGTGAAACAATAAAAGATTACAAGACAAAAGCCCCCTATCATCGTTACAATTCATCATTATGCTGGAGGTACCATTTATTTAGAAATTAATGGATTTATTTATTTATTTATTTTTGTCCTTTTTGAGACTGGCTGCACCACGCTCAGCCAGTGAGTGCTGTGAGCGCACTGGCCATCCCTATATAGGATCCGAACCCGCAGCGGGAGCGCTGCTGCACTCCCAGCGCCACACTCTCCCGAGTGCGCCACAGGCTCGGCCCGAAATTAATGGATTTATAAAATACATTTAAGAAAGAAGAATCAGAATTGTCATTATTTGTAGGTAACATAAGTACCTACATCAGGTGGGCAACCCTTCTCTGCAAAGGGTCTCTAGATAAGTATTTTAGGCTTTTTGAGTAGAGTCACAGCTACTTAACTCTACCATTCTAATGGGAAAGCACCATAGACAATACAGAAACAGATAGGTGTGGCTGTGTTCCAAAAAGACTTTATTTACAAAAATAGACAGCGGGCCAGATTTGGCCTGAGGTAGCCTAGCCAATATAGAAAATTCAAGAGAGTCAACTAAGAGAATTCAGCTGAATAGCCAGATTCACATTGAACATACAAAATCAGTAGCTTTCCCATATATGCTAGCAGTAACTAATTTTAAAATACAGTTAGGAAAAAAGGTTTCTTTTATATAACAAAAAGTGCTTCCCTCCCAATAAAAGAAACTCCACCCAAGAATAGGTGTAAGAAGAAGTATATAAGTATACAAAGAAAATTTTTAAACTTTAAAGGATATTAAAGAAGACCTGGATAAATGAAGAGGTACATGATGGTACTTCAGAAAGTTAATGGAATAAAATTAAAAGATAATGTGAATCTTTCCATGAACTTTTTGAAGATCCCATATATATATATATATATATATATATATATATATATGAGAAAATATTTGGTATTGTTAAGAATATGTTTTCTTTTCCAATATGTGATCTATAAATTCTTTTTTTTTTTTTTTTTTTTTTTTTTTTTTTTTTT